TGTCATGTGACTTCTTGCCTCGATAATTAATTCATTTGACAGAACTTGTCAACTCTCAATTAAGTAATTAATATGCAACACAATCTTTCTCGCGCAATAACTAGCGGCAGATATAAGATTTTTTCGTGGAGTTTTTTTTATCTAAAAGATTACTTTAAGATTTATCCAACCGCTTAAAAAAAGTAAAATTATGCAAAATTGCAAATTTTCCCCTTACTGATACCTTAACAAACCACCTGCACTAAAAGAAAATTAGTTTTAGATTATTCCTTGCGGTGAATAATCATGCGTGGTTGTTAATTTTAGGTGTAGCAAAAAATAATGATAGTCTTGGAATGCTTCTGAAATTTCAAAGTGGGAGTCTCAATTTTCTGGAAATGTTCAAAACAATTTCTAGTTGGTTGGCGTCGCATTAATGCTAGAATGTGTGTTCGTAAAAGTCATATTTCGAACTTCGTCGTTGTACAGAATCTAAACAGTAGGTTTACGAAATAATAATTTCTCTAACTGACTACCTAAAAAATTGAATTCAAAAATTTCTAAACTCATCGTGACTTGGGCCGGCACATGATACAAGATTAAGTGTAAACACCACAAACCAGCATGAGTGTAAACAATCTCCAACGGGGACCTTTTAAGTCATAATGAACCGAAGTAGAAGTCAAGCTATTCAGGTTTTTAAGGAACAACTTTAAAGCTCTGCTGCTGTTCTTTCCCCTGGCCATGTGAATTGCTTGCATCAGAAGAAATTTCACAGATATAGCAGTTTCCTCGAGCCTTACCACACTGTTTGGTAGGCTTGGTAATTGCGGTTGCTTAACTTTCGTCTTTCTTTAGAAGAAGTGATTGATATAACGAGATGAGCAGTCTTTCAATCAAAATCAAATACACTAATCTTGCCATGATACATTATTTGGCACTGTCTTCGTCTGCATCAGGGTTCGTTTCAGGCGTTCAGATGTTGAACGTTTATAACGGATTAAATTGAAAATAAACGTAAACATCCGTAGTGCATAAACAGAGGGACAATACCGAGCTGCCTATTCTCTGTAGTGTAGAAAACGAAGTGGCATAACAAAAAGAGTTTGTTTACCTTGAGCGAAGCCACTGTCAAAGACCTGCACGATGATAAGAACTCCAAGATAAAGTCTTCTGAAGTTGAGTTCCATTCCTCAGCCACTGTCAGATTCTTTTCAGAGCCAGCTGCAAATAAGCGAACACGTTAAAGTTTAATTACAAGGCCACGTTAGAAACTGTCATGCGTGGTTGGCCAAGCGCTTTAGGCAACGAGATAATTAGTTGAATCAATGTCACAAGAATTTCTCGGTAAAGAATTTGCTCACAAACCATATCATATCATGCCATGAGGATACCTTGCCTTCAGTTACTTATTTTTTTCCAAACGTTTTTTTTATTTGGTAACTTGCAATCTCCTCCCAGTGTAGATTGCGTTAAAAAGCGTGTGGTAATTGACAAGGAGGGAACTGAATTTTCGACGGTTCGCTTTATTCTAATAAAGGGAGGCGTGAAAATGAGTTACAACCACCGTTATTAACGTTGCTAGATGATGGGTTACCGAAAGATGTGATCTTCGGCTGAAGAAGTCAAAACATTGAAGCGAACTTATCGAGAATTCCGCTTAATTTTAGAGATTAAAATCTGCAAATTTTATCACAGCTAGCGCTGCGCAGGTTTGTATTTGCCCATGAATGTAAAGTGTTGCTCTAAATTGTCCTTTGAAGTGGTGACTATACAAGACTAATCTTTTCACATATACTAGTTAATTCCACGGCGTTGAAAATAGCACGGACCATTCGGTGAGGTGGAATACAGTTTACTCTGTGCTGCAGCCTGATTCGCTGAATTAATTGTAAATAACAAAGATTTCATGAGTTAAGCCTGGTTAAAGCGAGAATGCATATTGGTCTCGGAGGTAGTATTGGTCGAGAAGCTAGCAAGAGCACAATTAAACAGTGCGTTTGTCCATTATAAAGCCGCCGAAAATAGTCTTTGTTCGCGAAAGTTGTTCTCAACGGCGTTCCCGGCTTTTATTTCTTGGCTGTTTGCATGGATTGCGGAACTTTGGCGAACATTCACGAAAATAGTAGCATAAATCATGCAAAGGTTCAGCTTACCAGAATCACTCTGAGCAACTTTTGCGGCAAGATTTGATAGTGTTATCAGTTTCAGCCTTTTTTTAAACGAACCCTGAAAGCTTTCAGCATGTTAAAAGTGAAACGCCCTTAAACTTTCCCTTTTGTTTATAGCAATTGTTGCTATTGTTGTTAATGGAATTATAAAGTTCTTGTTCAGACAATAAATCCTGCATTTTTGGAGGATTACATTGTGACATCTTTTAAATTGCGGTGAAGCAATTCATGAATGAATTAATTTGATCTCGTTTGATCTCGTTTGGTGACGCAGCTTAGACGTACACAAGAAGGAACATTATTCATGGTACTATTGTACAAAGTAGAGATCTTATAAAACTCATTAAGGCCCGCTTAGACCGACAATTTTTCCTTAATATGATCTGAAAATCGCCCATAAAACTGCCGACGATTTAGTGACAAATGAGATGCTGGTGGTTTACAGTGTTTCGAACAAGTGATTCGAATAGCCTTTATGCGTAATGGCATCAGACTAGCTAAAATCACCACCAAGCCTCGGTTTGAGCGTGCAAATTTTAGATTTTATCGTGAACTAATTCCCAAAGCAGCAATGATGAAAAGAATACCCACGTGAAAACAACACGAAGAAAACGAAGGTTTGAGAAAATGTCGAGCAAACGAGGCTTGGGGGTGAATTTTGAGCATGTTACGTAATCGCACAAAAAACCTATTTTTTTAAATCGCGTTCCTGTAAACTAGCCTGCAAAGAGACAATTAGATTTGTTACATGAAAAAAATGAAAAGTCCAAGGTGTGAAAAGGTGACTGAAGTTACCGCTAGTTGAAAGCTCAATCAGTATTTCAAACAATTTTGCGCTGTTAACATTTTGCTCCACTAAAAATTCGTTTTGAATATATATCCTTAGAAATTTCGACGAGTGAAAAAATCTAGTCTGAACACAATTCATGACTATTTTGCCGGCAACCACACAACCCACCTGACGTGCAGCAACGTAAACTCTTGGAACTAAATGATAGCTGTTAATCTATAAGCCTTTGTGATAGGCCGCTCAGTGCATATTTGAGGATTTTTACATTGTGTTTCATATTTTTCGTTTGACGCTCTTCGTTTTCGTCATACAGTAGAGCAGGAAGGACTTGCGACGCCATTTGTGTTTGATATGATCTAGTGCATATTTTATCTATGAAAGTTTCAGGAATGGGGTAGAAATTTCGGGTTAATAAAAGAACAGAACCTACCTGTTTTGAATTTTATCTGAGCAATACAACGAGGAAAGAACAAAATAACAAAAACACACACTAAAAGGAATTAAATCTCGTCACGAAATATCTTCTGAGTTAAGTTGTGCTAAAGAGAATCAAAAGTCGTCTGGACTGTTTTTACTCCGCAATTGAAAAAATACACCCTAAGCAATAATCACGTTTGCAACATCCTTTGTTTGCCTTCAGTTAGCCAACAAAGCTAAGTCGTAGGAAAGTTTGTAATAAAACCGACAAAGAAATGTCAAAATCCTTATTTTGCTCACTATCTACTTGGCAAACAAACAACATGAGCTAAAAGAAAAGTAATTAATAGTCAATTTTGTGTTGTGTCTGAGGCCTTCCTGTACTGACATAGCTGAAAATGATCTTGCCTAGCTTAACACGTCTTACACCGTTTACCTTTGTAAATACTTCGCAGAAATGACTGTTCAAAGCACCTTCCTCAACCGTCTTACTGGGCAAATATCTCTTCTTTAGATTAAGTGTCGTCTTTCTTTTCGCGCCTCGAAGGCACATCTTATTTTAAAGCCCGAGCAGCAATTTGCACCTGGATGTATTGCTGCTCGGATATTCATCCCACACATTAGCAAATACTTTAACACTCGACTTGCCGAAAAAGATCTACAGCTACCTCTTTTACTCAAAGACAAGTTTGGTTTAGTGGCATTGAACGAGCTGAAAACGAAAAATAAAGATACCTGTCCATGAATGGTAGCATTTCATGAAATAATTTCAGAAATTTGGAATTTTTCAAAGATGTATTTGTTACTATTGAAATTGTCCGACGAATTCAGATTATACGAAATTAACACAAATACTCTGACTTTTCCATATTGTGCTAATCTAATTGCGCCAAATTTTGGCGACAACATTTCGGTGAAAACGGGCATTCAAGTCTTCTTTCGTTTGGTGGGACCTAGAAATACTACTAAAGAATAAAACTGAGAGTCAACAAGCTGATTTGTATCACGTATTTCTAATATGTTGGTTGTTCCGCTGGCACTGATAAAATTGTAGCTTCAACATTGGTTTAGTTTATCGAATGTTCCCCCGCCTTTGTTACCGCACGCTGTTCATTCGCATCTCTTTGTACTAACTGAACTTGAACACCACGGCAATTTCAGCGCGAGCATTGTAAATTATTGTTTTCATCCGAAGGGCTGAAAAGCGTTTATTTTGACTGAAGTTTTTCTTAAATTTTAGTTTTTTAGGTAATGTGGAGTCGGTCGAATTTTGTTATTGTTCCCTTCAAAAGTGATGCGATGGGGAAAGCTACTGAAAAAAAGTTGAAGCGCATTCCTGTTGGGAAATTGTAAAAATCACTTTAAACAACAAACCAAATTGCCGATATACTAACCTTCTGGCTGGGATTATTCTGATCTGGTATAAACACTCAGTATTCAGCTTTCCGCTCTCCAGCTTATTCAAGTGCCTTAATTAATTATACGAGGAAAACCAGAAGTGAACTGCAGGATTTCAATCCGTCAGGTTGAAGTATCATTGAGCAAAGAGTACAATCCTGACTAAAGAGGAATCATCTTTACAACGAATCGTGATTCTCCATTCGACAGTTACGAATGTGCAAATGCCTGTATGTGTGCCAGGGGACTTAACATTAAGTGGAACATGTGAAAATGCTAATAATCGGTTACTAGGGCTATTTTGCACATTTGGTGAAAACCACCCGTGTAATAAATAAAAACTGTCAGTTGAACTTTGAATTAATCGATCTAACATCTATCTTGTCAAAATACTGTTGGCCGGAATCACGTATCTTGCAGTAGAAAGGTCTTGAAAGTTTGCTCTAATATGGCTACTACTATATCAATGATCCTGATACAATTTTTGCAACCTAATTGCAAAAATATCAAAAATGAAAAAAGATACCCGATAAGCTATAGGGTATTGTACGTGTTGGACGTAAACATCGTTAAGATAAGGGAGAATATTGGAAATCAGTTTTCGAAAAGTCACTTGAGCACTGAATTGGGAATTTGCAATGCTGGTATAGGTTTGCTTTTGGCAAATCAAAATTCGAAAGGAAATTCTTATGCATTATGGAACTTGTTTGTTATTTCTTTTCATATCCCGGCAGTGGTATTGTACGGATATTGTATAATGTTTGGTAGATTGAATTTATGGCAATTATTCCTTGAAATAACTTAATATTTTGTTTACACTGATTATTCATTAAAACACGCAATAGATAAACAACATGCAAATATCGGTGGTTTTGAAATCGAAACTGGGTTATTACACTCTCAAAACATCCAAAAAGCTTCGTTTGGCGCTAAACGAAACTACAAAAGACATCACTCTGTCACGAGAAATTACAGATGAATAGTATGCCAAACTGAAATTGAACTTACAATAGCATCATTCCAGTTCAATATTTTTCCTAGAATTACTGTGAATATGGAAATTGCAAAATGAAACGTCTAATCATTCAATAATTGTTATATCCCGGGAGTTCTCATTTTCTGTGGCAATTGTGTTTAAAACATACATAAAGCTGTTTCGTTAATATAGAATTCGTAATAATTCTGACGAGGACTTTTCTCAAGAAATGCGTGTTTCCAAGCAAATGGCATACGATGCACTATACGCACGAAATAATACATGTTGAAATATTTTACCATTGAAAAAATAAAATATTTACTCAAGTTTGAATCATGATGCTGTGGATTACGAAGTCACATGTGAATAGTAAAATCTTGGAACAACTTTAGTGAAGGTAAATGTTTGTCGATGAAAACACAAATCCAATTAACGCCGTTTCAGTATCAGCCGAAAGTACATCTTAAGAGGAATATACATGACAAAATTGCAGGTTATATGTTTTCTTCCCTTTCCCCTGTTTAGTCTTCGTTGGTATTTCTGGTTACGGAAGTTGTACGTACTTTTTAATGGATTTTGGTACAAGCAGAGAGACCACGGATAGTATAATTGATATCTATGACAGTACTTCAGAAATAACTTTAATTCACCAATTATTAATAATTATATGTAATATATCGCTTTTGCAACTGTTCTTGTTAGAAGAGTTCACCTTACTGTGAACAACAAAAAAAAGAAAACACAAAACAGATTTTGAAAAGCGAGAGATACTAGCACATTCTTTAGATTTAAAGTCCTGGGGCTGAATTTACGAAGCTCTCCTAGATTAAGGTGCATCCTAAACATTCTTTTTTAACAAAAGTATCTTCATTCGAACAATACTTACGAGACATCTTAATCTAAAAGGCCCTCGTGAGTCTGGACTCTGATGTCAAAATATTAATTATCATAAAAGGTTTTCTTGCATTTCGTATGATAATATTTACACAAAGTTGACTTAGTGCTGTCATTATTTCCACTTCTGTTTCTCTAAAGTACCTTAGTTGCCTTGGAAACAGACACATTACTGCCACTGACTGACACTAGCTCCTACAGGATGAAGTTCATTCGTTGTTTTTAAAAGAACACTGCAAGGCAAGCGAACGCTCCTCGGTCACTATGAGCGCGATTGAATTAACCCCTATGTGGAGGTTATATCGAAAGTATTCTGAGTTGGCGTGGACTTTGAAGAAAAGAAGTGAATTTAGACTACGATAGATGAAAGCCTCTGATTATTCAACTCTACATTTTTGCCGTGATGTTGAGGACACGAATTGTTTTTAACTTATTCCTTGCATTACTTTCGGTACTAGTTGGACGAATTCGCCTGTCGATGTTTTAATATGTTCGCGTTATTTCCCCTTGTCCTCCGGCCCTGTCGGCTGGTTGGCTTAGAAACTGAGACCAGTATCATATCCTGCAAGGTGAAGCTCATTTTTTGATAAAAGAGCATTGGGGGTTGTGCGATGAACGTAGCAATTATGTATTCGTACGCGTTGGCACCAGCTTGGGTGGCGGATCTTTGGCCAGATAAAATAGAGTTTAGTTAGAAACTAAATACAGTATCTCTATATAGGTCATTTGTCTCTGTAAAATAACGTTTGAAAAACAGTCAGCTATCTGTCACTACATCCCTGTCATTTCTACAAGTGCAGTCGGTACACCATCTTTGCTTTCAGAGCGATATAACAATATGATCAACCCTCAATATTGCATAACTTTATGTTCGCAAACCCGCTGTTGTCGGTAATTCTCAGTGTGCGTGATTGTTAACGAGTGTTTACGAGAAATCAGTCACTGATTCATCTACGTACTGAGGAGATAAGGAAATTGAGTGAATTTTCCATGTTTCTGTTAAACGTTCTAGAGTTTTCCGCTTTCATCGAGGAGAAATGGATGATTGAGAGGTCAAAACCTGAAATACCGGATTCATAAAATCTAAATAGTCTGTCAATCTGTAGTCTTCCTTAGCGAGATGCCATGTAGGGCGCCTGCGCAAATGACACCAACATTGCAAGCACGGGCTTCTTGTGCACGCGGCGTGTGTTGCTGATGTATGTCGTGATTTCAAGTGTGGTAGCTGCATTTGAGCTTCATTTCACATTTTGAAACGGTTAAACTCAGACATAGGGGTCACATTTTTATCGACTTATAGTTGGCTATCGCGATTCATTAAGACGGAAAAAATTATACCACTGAAAGAATCCGACTGATAAGTAATGTTCTTAGAAAACTTTGCTTTGCGTGCTAACACATTCTTTACGATTATTGTCTACGAAGCTAATCGGATTGCGAGTTTGCCGACACTCGTAGCTTTGGGTGATGCAAATAATTACAATATAATGGACAACCTGCTATTAACGTGCGGCAATTTAGCTCGAAAATCTATTGGCGTGATTCATCAAACACCATAAAACTTCGATCATACCATACAATTTACCTTTGTTCATGTCGTCCGCTGTAGACACAAACAGGTGTGTCTGGCAACTTTTTAACATTGTAAACGAGAAACTGTCTGAAAACGTTTAAAATATCGCTTCATTTCCGAAAACACTTTATATTATAATTATGTCAGGTTTATCTTATCTGTCAGCTGGACACAACAAAAAGATTATTGGTCGTCGCAGTAATGTTTCACAAACAGGTCCTCTGCGTTGGTTATTATGAATTTATATTTTATAGCTATTTTGTCCTTGTATTGCCTTATTGTGAAGATGTTTGATAAACAAATGTCCAAAACACCAGATTTGATCAACATGATCCGTGCTTGTGGCTTCTCGTTTAAAATTTCATCAGGAATGATTCCTGAATTTTGTGCTGAGTCTGGTTTTGAAGTCAATTTGATCATGTACGGCAGAATATTTTACCACAGCGCTAAATGAGGACTTAAAATACAGCTGCATGACAAGAAAACAAAATGGTGGTAAACCGTGTGCTAAACAGGAGTAATATTAGCAAGTTGTTTCTAAAACAAAGCTATACGAGAAATTTTCGTCACCCAAAAGAGAAAGTCCATTATGGAAATACTTACATTGTAACAGTGAAAAATGACCGACATCGAGCTAGCCGGGGGAAACCAATAACAAGCAATCAAGTGAATTTAGAACTTCGCCATTTGTATATGAACATACCAACTGGGGTGAAAAAATAGCGCAAGGCAAACTTAGACTGATTGTTTTTACCTGATTGGTCGAGAACAAAACATCTTAGCTCTGATTCGTTGTAGAAGCTTACTTTTAACCACTGTAAAAGCTCGAAGGATTAAAATCCGTACTTTGCGACGGTCACATTTCGAAGTATACCACTATGAAGGAACAGCAACAGAACTCGTTTTACATCTACAGTTGTTATCATTGAAATAAATTATACAATCGAGATTTTTTCATATCTCGTCTTTGTAGAAACTGAAACAGCTACATAGAAAAACGTCTAACAAGTCCTACCAGATGTGCGCCTCAGCAAGCTATCTGGTTTGTAGCCCCCTGCGATTTATACGGCTTTCTGATATTTTATTCGCAAGCAAACATCTGGAGATGAAGAAATGATGGCAGTTTCGCTGAGGCTAATGGCAGATTCCGTAGTCTCGTTTTGTTTGTATCGACTTATACGAGGTATTCAAATGAAAGCTTATTACAGTTGAAATTTGATGCATTACTTTTAATTTCGGTAATAAAGATTATACTTGATGGACAGCAACAGGTAAAAGGTTTTCGTAATGGGCGTTGTGGCAAATGTTTATTTGGTGAAATGCCCACAAAGGGATCGTTGAGGTCAAAATTGAATTTATGGTGGCATCTGGAGAGCCCTTGAAATATATATATATCGCGCTACTATGTTTAAGTGCTATGTTCTATCGTGGCGAGTACAATTAACTTCAGTAGTTCGCTGCTTCTACTGGCAATGATTCAACAGTTGATTCATGCTTTTAGCTGTGCATCATCTAGTTAGCTAAAGTCGCTCTTGGCAGCCCCTCGAGCAACTCTTTTACTTCTTATGTGTTCTCCAAACTTCCTTCGTGCATCGTAACTAGATGATGCACGCAAGAACATCAATCGTTAATCAGATCAGGTATTTTTGCCGACTAATTTGCAATATTAATTGTCCTGAAGGTAAAAAGCTTGCCTTAGGGCAAATCATCTAAGTGCAGCTACGTCGATGATGATGAATAAATACAAATAGTTTTGTGCTTTACATTTTCAGCCAGGCCCTTTACTAGAAGCCTCCATGACTGATTTGCAGCAATATTCAATAAAAGACTCTGTGAATCCACAGCTTCCTTTCCTTTACCAGCTAAGTGTGCAGTTAGGGATTATGGAGATAAATGGTTCATCTGGCTGCAAAGTTGTATGTGACCCTTTAGTTGTTTGAAACATCTGAAAGGTGGAAATTTTTTTATATTTTGAAGCGTATACCGCTCATTGCAAAATATTTTTCACGAAGTCGATGCTGATATTCCTTTCATCCTGTCCGCTGTCATATCTCGTCAAGCGTTTGTTATTTATAAATATAAAGTCGCAATTACCATTATTTATAACCACAAAGAATGTTTTTGTGTGGTTCCAGAATGTATATATATAGAATGTGCATGTCTTTACAGTTACCCTTAAAGAGAAAATTTGGGATTTCTAAACGGGAAGTTCAGGTTTACGCGTTTTCAGCTGACGAAATCACTTGGAATAATCTTTAAGTTTCAACTTCTCTGTAGAGTTTGTTTACTATGAGACCCTGAATCCACGCTAAGCATTGACATTTTAAAGTCGCATCGATCTGGCCAATTTTTTGTTGGCAATTTTAAAATCGTAGCCGTGCATTCGAAGAGCGAACTTAACACTCTTTTATGTATTGCAAGATGGCACGAAAGAGACAAAACCTGTAAACTTGACAAGCTTTAAAAATGTCTTTGAGATGCCCTGATGTAAGTGTCTGACTTTACACCAGATTCAGTTCACTGAGTTTTGTCAGTTATTTTGTGCCCATTCGATATGAGATATTGAACATTGTGCTGCATTATTTCGCAATTCTATCGGCGTAAAGGTCGTACCTCTGATAGAAATGCTCTTAACTAATTGAATATCATTGATAATACCCGTTCAAAGCTTATTAAAACAGGTTAAAGACAGTTTATTGAAGCGTGGTTAAAATTGGTTTGTGTATATTATAAAGTTCCATAAACCATTTATTAACATCAATGTTGAAAAATAAGTGTAAGCTTATTATAGCCTGAGAATAATTAAGATGATTACCGCAGAACATTCGAGCAATAATGGCAAAAATGAATTTACCAAAAAAATCTCATAGCGTGGTAATATTTTGAATAAGGGTAAGAAGAACTTGTCGAGAGTTAAGCTCTCAAACTGACCCCGCAAAAGAAAATTGAACTTGAAGTTATCCATATTTCAATTAAAACGGACGTTTTGCGTTAGTGGAAAACACAATAACACAGGCATTAAGCATTCTCACCAGATTTGACATTAACTTTCTCGAGAATGCTTGAGAATTTAATCGCGGGGTCACCTAAATGAATGAATTACTGTGAGTCTGAGATGTTTTAAATAGTATTCAAAAAGTTACCGAGCTATGAGTAGATTTTAAGTAAATAATTTTTGCACTTATTGCTCGCACTTTGAACTGACGGAATCCGTGTTAATGTGTCCGTGATTTTCAATTTTGCAAACTTAATACACATGGCTTAAAATTGGAAAAATGTCACTAATCGGTGTGATATAAATTCAACGAATCTAGAATATTAATTAGTAAATTACAACAGCAAAACGAATGAGTAAAATTTTGGTCTTACTTTTCTTCAGCGCCGTTTTGATGTTGTAATTCAGTTATTAACATGCTAGCTTCGTTGTATTTTTATCACCGATTAGCGGTTTTACAACAAGTCGAGACATGTTGCAAGTGATTTCATAGCTCGGTATGTATAGAGCTATAACATCAGAATCATTATAGGCTAATTTAAGGGCTCAAATAGTTCTTCAGACTTTTTCTGCAATTGTTCAGGCTGCGGCTCTCTGTTCATTTTCAGCTCACAAATAGGATTTCATAGGCATTTTAGACAAACAAGTTCAGATGTGCAATGGGGTGGTTTCAGCATATGCATGAGGGGTTATAAGGTTAAAGCAAATGAAAGAAGACTTAAGGAATTAAAACAATGCCTTGTAGAACAATCCAATAAAAACAACGGATGTGTTACTTACCTATCTGTCATTTGCGTAATCGGAATTGGTCGATTAAAGTCGGAATTGCGTAATCGGAATTGGTCAATTAAACTAAAAGCTGTTGAATGGAGAGACTTTTGATAATTTTGTACCAACATTCCTCTCGGCCCACGAAGTGACGTGCGCCTCGCCGCTGCATTATTGGAAAAGCAGATATCCCCTCTTCATAACAAATGAAAGGTCTTTTGTTAGCAAAACAGCACGGCAGGAAACCGTTAGTAAATGTTTACTTAACCCTTAAATATCGATCGGTAACTCAAGACGAGTAGCGATGTCTGGATCCTTTCATTGTGTCTACAGTAAACTCCGATAACCCGAGAATTTGTTGCGCTTCAATTACTCTGTTATACGTTGGTCGGTTTATGTTACGTTTCCATCGGTGAAGCAAGCGTAAGATATACAAATTGCAAGAATTTGAGCGTTTTAATTGTTTTGAACTTTCTTAAACCATTCTTGTTGGACCACCTGTGTTTGTTGAAAAGTAGATTTCTCATTACCTAGTACGTTTGCGTATCATTCAAAAGCAGACGTTTAATCAACAACAAATTAAAACGTGACCTGAAACCTACAATGATTAATTCAGTAAAACGAAGAGCACTGAATGAAGCGCTAGCGAACCTGGTGTTAATCATGCCTATTTTTCAGTTCTACGTAAATACCGGTCTCTAACCTTTTATCTCTGCGTCGGAAGGAATCGCTTGTTCATGCTACCTGACGCAAAACAACTCAAGTTTTCAACGTTAACCTTACAGCAAACCTAAAAACAAAAAGTTTAATCACCCAGAAAAAGAGACTAGTTTATAAAATAGACAAAGGTGCTATGTATTTAAACCAGACTCCATTTTGGCTTATGGTCAAGCAATTATCCGATCAACACGGTAGCGGCTTATGGTTAGTGTGATAAAGGTTCCGTTTCTTATGGTTTCCGAATGTATCCTTATGAAGTTATTCT